ACAAACATTTGTAGAGGGCTTAGGATGGGCTAGGCTGGACATCCTGCAGAAAAGAGCAAGAAATTCACTGAAAGGTGTAAGCAAGGACCAGATCACAAAGGGCAGCATATACCATGGGAAGTATTTGGATTTTATTCTGAAGATGATTGGGAGCCACTGGAAGATTTTGAGCTGGGCAGTGAATTGATCAGATCTTGAGATCTTGGGAAGATCTCTTGACTGCCATCTCAAGAGCTGAAGACTTGTGACCAACTGCTACATTGTATGATGTCATCTATAAGTGCTTCAAGAAAACTGCCCTTTTAGTCTGTATTAGAGATAATGCAGTGAAAAGAGGATAAGCAAGCAGAGCTGGTTTTTATCCCAAGGCTGCCATTTACCAGCTGTATAATATTGGGCACCTGATTTAACTAATTCTGAGCCCTCAGTCTCCTTTCTGTACAATGAAGATAATAATACTTAGCTCATAGGGTTTTATAATAAATAAAGATGATGAGCTTGGACCTTTCTAATAACCTTCCAATACCATTAGAATCAATCAAATCAAAATGGCACTTTCCAGCCCAGGAGGAAAGCCACCTACCACCTTGCTAAGCCACCACTTAGCAGATGCACCACTTAGCATTTTCTTCTTAGAAATTAACCAGAGTGTTTTGTTCCTAATGTGTGAACATAATTGGCATTCATACTTTGTAAATGAGCAAGCCGAGGTAAACTGAGGTCAAAGCCAAATCTTGGATCTGAATCAAACCACCCAAAAGCAATACTACAAAGAATTAAACTAGGTTACAAAGACCTGTGTAGGAACAGAGAGCTCCAGTTGCCTTAAGAACCTTTTAAGCAAACACTAGTGCAGATTTGCTGGCTCAAAGGACACTGAGAACATCTGGCCTTCCTATTATCCTCTCACAAGCAAAAAATGATGTCGTGTAAACTGATCTTTAGGCCAATTATATGGTCTAAGTGTTACAGTGTTTGTGTTGGCTCCTCTGGCTCCAGGTTTTAAGAACTTAATTTGTAGCCACACCCCTCCCTGAAGTCCTAATTTCATCTTACTGTAACTGATCCCAGGGATTCGTTTATGCCGAGTCTGCACTTTTTTTCAGAACAATAGCACGTGTAAATGTATCACCAGTCAACTGTGTGCAAAGCCATGTGGGAGGTCCTGTAAGAATAAGTTACAGGAGTTACATAGCAAGGGGAGGAGTGTGGAGGGTGCACAAGAGATCCGGCGCCGGAGGCTTCTCTGGTCACATGCCCAGTGCCACAGTTTTTTTCCCTATATACCAAATTTATTATAGAAGCCAGGTGTGGAGAGTAGAGACTGTAGCCTGCAGCTCACTTAGAAAGCACTACACTAGGAATCAGAAAACCTGCTGCTACCTCCAACTCGCTCTTCTACCCTAGACAAGGTCATTATTGTGTCTGAGCTTCTGTTTCCCCATCTAGACTGAACTTCATTTACCAAACACCATGTGCCAGGCACTGTTCCAAGGCTGTCACCAACACTGATTAAGCCAATCTCAATGACTGTAAGGGGCAGGGGGTATTATTTTCCCCACTCCACATCACCCAGTGGGGGGGTCGTGCAGTGGGGGCGTGGCAGAGGCCATGAGCTGGCCGCTTCCCTCTGGCTGCTTAATGAGAGCTCCGGGCTGCCGTGCTCAGCTCTAACGCACTAGGGTTTCCAGAGCCACAGCCCAGTGCTCTGGAACAGGAGACTGTGAGCACACCCCTGGGTGTTACTGACCATAGGAAGGGAGCTTCTTGCCTCTCCCCGGCCCCACCCCACCCCGTCCTTCAGCTTCTCTGACCAAAAGCCGTGAAAGCAGCGTGGAGGCTGACCAAGGGAGGTCTTTCTCCCACCTCCAACCCCCATAGCCCCATTTCACTCCATCTTCAGTTGACAGATGTGAGAGATCATCTTTAAGTCTGTGGATCCTTTCAGACCTTTTTTAAGACATCTGGGGATCCTAATCTGGGTTATAAGCAGAAATACTGGTAGAAGAAAGCTGGGAGCTCTTGATTTGTCTATGGTAAAAAAAATATTGAAGTTACAGTTGTGAGGAACGAGTAAATGGGCCTCTGGATTAAGACCCCCAGTGCACCATCAGGCTCCCTGAGGGGAGGAAGCGGTAGGATGGCCAGCCCTTTAAGAAACCCAAAGCCACGTAGGGACTCAACCCCAGGCACCAGCAGCTCCTTCCTCAGGATCAGGATTTTCCTTCATCCTTAAAGGAAATGAATCTCTCGTGTCTCTTCGTCTGACTTAGCATGTCTAGGAATGAAGGACGGAATATGTAGTACAGTAAATCCTATCTCTGGTTGTCCATTACAGGAATTTATCACAGATGGTAATCATTAGGACTTAACATTCTTGAAGAAAAGAGCTTTATCCAGAATTGTAAATGAACTGTAGCCAAGTTTTAGATTTGTAAAGCTATGTTAAAAAACAAAATTCAACTGAGTAAAATTTAAAGATCTTACTAGCTTTATTCAAACAGCGAGGAGCTCCAAAGAGCTAAACAAAATGGGGACTTTTATAGATGGAAGGGTCAGTGACAAGGAAAGAGAAGACCACCATATCTTTCTTTGAGGGACGCAAGGGGTCTGTCAGACAGATTACCTCACTACTGCTGACCAGAAAATCCCAGATTGAATGGCTTTAAGATGACATTCCCCAGAGAAGCTGAAACTGCAATTAGGTCAGGTATTAAGTCTTGGATTATTGACCCAGGGCTTAGCACAAGTGACTCTATTTCGGGCCTGATGTCTCTTTTTTTAAACAGCTGTGAAAGAGGGCTGCCTTTTATAGTACTGGAACAACTGGGAATTTATAATACTGAGTTACAAAATCAGCACATGAAAGCTTGACCTTGAACTGGGATTTCTGGGCAAGGCAATGAGAAGATGGTAATTCATTCCTGCAGTTAGCAGACCCCCAGTCAGAACTAAACAAGGCTGGGCCCTTGTTTAAACTCATGAAATGCAAGCTCAGAGAAAATGAGGTACTGACATCTAAATATGGCATTGTAATTCCTAAGCCAATGGTGGAGCAACAAAGTGCAAAGTTTCTCCTCTGGTCAGAGGGGCAAGGCATTTGCAGACCAAACAATTATATAGGCGTATGTGTAACTGGAGAACCCAGGGAGGGAAGCAAGCAGAAAATAGAGGCTGGAATCATCAGGGAAAGGTGTGTGGAGGAAAGGGACTTGCCTGGTGACTTGAAGGATAAGTAGCATATGCACATGTGAGGAAAGGTTTGCTCAGCAACCCCCAATCTCCTGCAAACATACATGTGTCCCTGCTGTGACTGTCATCCCAAGCCAAGCCTGGAGTCACACTGCTGTATTTCCCACAGATGATTGTTCCTTAAATTTCACAGCCTCACCCTCCACATTCCCCCTCAGGCCTCTTGAAAGGCCTGGAAAAGGAAACTCTGGCCTCTCTGGACATACCCCATCGAGGTTGGACCACACAACATGAGCATCCATCCCGTCCTGGAGGGTGAGGCCAGAAAAAATCCATATCCCAGCCCCAGCCCCAGCGTAACACTGTCAGGTTAAAATGAGCAGTAGGATGAAGGGGCAGGGCAGTGTTAGACAGGAGTGCCCTCCGCAGCCTCCCTGGAGGCTTCCATGGCACACACTGGAGAGAACAAGCAGATGCACCCACAGGTGTTGGAAGTTTGGAGGGTGGCTAGGACCCCATGAGGATGGTCAGCAGCCTTCACGGGCAAGGTGGGAGGGTCCCTGGGGAAGAGTGAGGGGGTAGATACAGCAGGAGAACTGCTGTGCCCAGTCCCTTGCAGAGCCTCGCATTGGGGGTCAGGCTCCTGAATGCCTGCTGAGACTAGAGAGAGCTGATGGGGGACAGGAAGGCTGGGACTGGGACTCGGAAGAGCAGAGGGGACATGCTACAGGGGAGGGAGCTGAGGCATTCTGCACTTTCTAGAGGCTGCTGTAGGGGTTCCAGGTGTCTGCTCTCCATTGTCCAGTCGGTCCCCAGGAAGGGTAGGAGAAAAGCATAATTCAGGATAGATATCCACTTCATAATAAAATGTCCCTAGGCTATATTTCTCAAGGGCCAAAGGGTGCCTGAGCAGGTACAACAGCATCTGGAGAAGAGGGAACACCTCAGCCAGGGCAAAGTCGTGATGAGTTGTTCATGCCAGAATTCTGGGGAAGGAGGGAGCATGGAAAGAGAGACTGTGCCCACTGTGTCCCATTCCCATCAGCAGGGAGAGCTGCCTCCTTAACTCACCACCTCGCATCAGCAGTTGAGGGGGCCAAAAGGAGGTTGGGGAGGCAGAAGCATGAGAGCCTCTGAGAATGTGGCCCCCGTTTGCCATATTTGTGACAGCACAGATCGTAGGTGAATCCAGCACCCTTGAATTCCAATGTAGGAGAAGCCCATATTGCTAACCTTCTACTGACTCCAGGAGTGTGATTGAAATCAACTGAAATGTTAGCTTTGTTTAAAAAATGTGGGGACCTATCCTTAGATGACATTCTAATGTAGCAGAAAGCATGGAAGTTTAGGGTCTATATGGGTTTGAGTCAGCAACCTCACCTTCTCCTAGTTGTGTGGCCTTGGGAACGTGACTTCACCTTTCTAAGCTTCAGATTCCTCATCTACAACATGGAACATTTGAAAATAATACCTGCGGTCAAGGCCACTGAGGAGATTAAATTTGATGACCACTGTACACAGCTGAACCCCTTGCATCCAGCTAACATCAGTTCTCTTTTCTTCCTCCTCCTTAAAAGAAGGAGATTCCAGGAAAAATGAGTTTTAACCAATAATTTTGCAACATGATAAGCCCAAAAAAGGAAATGGGAAGCTTATTTGTTGCCAAGTTCTATTATAAGTCAGTAAAGCACTGTCATAAACATCATGTCTGTATTTCTTTCAAGGTGCCCACCACGCTTCCCACCTGCCCTGTTGGAAAGCCATGGCACCCACTGGCTCACATTTCCTTCTCTCTGATTCTCTTCCAGGGACGCTGTATCAACTTCACAAGAGTCAAGAACAATCAGCCGGCCAAATACCCCCTCAACAATGCCTACCACACCACCTCACCACCCCCTGCCCCTATTTACACTCCCCCACCCCCTGCTTCCCACTGTCCTCCCCCACCCCCCAGCGCACCCACCCCTCCAATTCCATCCCCCCCTTCCACCCTGCCCCCTCCCCCTCAGGCACCACCTCCCAACAGGGCGCCGCCCCCCTCCCGACCTCCTCCTAGGCCTTCTGTCTAGAACCCGAAGTTTATGCTCTGTGCTCTCAGAAACTCTGGGGAGGAGGCTCCTCCGTGGTGTTAGAACGAGTCTTTCCCATTAGGGGAGGCTTCTGCTTTGGAAATGAGTGGGGATAAAGCCCACTGACCTTCACACACTTTAAAAATTGGTTTGCAATGCCAATACACCAACAATTGTGATCAGCAGGAAGAAATAGAAATTTTGGAATGCCTGAAAACAAATAATAAGGCAACTACAGTCACAATTATAGCCAGCCATCACCTCTAGAAGGTCCAGAGGCAGTGAAACTGTTGAGATGCTCTAAATGGGATTGTGCCTCATGGAGATCAATAGGAAAATCATTTCTCTGAGGGTGAAACCCAGAGTCAGATGGATAAGAAGCAATATTGCTGGGTTTCTAAATACTGCCTTCCCCTCTCCACTCCACCTCCATCATCTCCTTGGCATAAGAACCAAGAAACCCTCACCCCTGTGCACCATCCAGGAAGGTGGAAACCCTTTGTCTACAACTTTGGGAAAACCTTGGGGTCCCCATATGGCAAAAACTCAACATCAGACAGGAATCCAAAAGTATGTTCTCCTGGGATTTGCAGAGAAGTAAAATCATATGACTTATTTTCCTTTCAAATTCTCCCAGTTTCCAAGCGAGGAAGAGAGCAAGTGTTTACTGATGGAAGAAGGTATGTTGCCATGTTGCTGTGTAAGTGAAATCAGGTGTGTGCATTGACGGGGAGGACTGATGGGAGCATCAGACGGTTTCTGAAACTCACAGGCCATCAGCAGCTAGAGGTGGCTGGCTCTGGCCCGACACGGTCCCCTGAACCAACAGACAATGGCATTCTTGAAGAGCAACCTGTTAATGATTCATGCTAAAACTTGAGATTTGGCTTTGGTTTAAATCACTTAAGATATGAAGAAGTGATTGATCCCATTTTCCAGAGACAAATAGGAGTTGATCTTCCCAAAATGGCATCACTAGGCCCTACCATACAATTCCACTGATTTTTTTCTTTCTTGGTAGAGTTGTGCACCAGACTTCCAGGTAGAGTTGAAAAACAATGGTCCTGACATAATAAGGAAACTACCCCCAGTTTCTTTGATTAACCCCAGAGAATGCATGTATGTGTGGATGCAAATATATTTCTCCTTGGCTTTTCAACATACTCACAGGTAGCAGCTGTCAACCCAGGGGAAATGCATCAAATAATCAACACAGACGTGTTCTGCCTGAAATTCCCACCAGGCCTGGCACCCACCCCATTCCTCCAAGTCTTTCTGAATCTGATTTCTCAGTAAGCCTATAATCACTTTCTAAACATCATGCTTCTTCCCCCAAGGGTGAAAACAGGGGTCATTGTTGAGGGCCTACTGCACCATCCTGTTCAAAACGACCTCCCCTTCTGGTTTCCACAGACCTTAATGTTCCTCTCCTAAACCCTCAAATCCTTAAATCTCTTCTGGAACAAAGCAAAATATAAAGTAAATATAAATTCATTGCTTTGAGGTATGGTCTCCAAAGATCCTTCAAGAGCCCTTCAAACCAGCCTCACTCTTTCACCCCACTTAGAACAGAGGCACAGGGGCCTGCCATGCTTTCCATCAACACCAGCTCTTGCAGCACAGCAGGTATTACCCATCAACCACTGCTCCCTGCTCCTGTGGCGCTCCACTGTTTCTCCAGTCCTCAAATCAGCGCCAAAGAGCCACCAGTCATCGGTCACAACTGAGAAAGAGATGGACCCTGTTTGCCATCCCTGCTTTAGAAAGTGAAACAGGAATTGCCTGGGGGAATGGGAACCCCATGGTATAAAAGGTACAGTCAGGTACAGGAAACAGATCTAGGCAGAGTGCCGGAGTGGGGGGCCCCAGGCACTAAGTCAGCAGCGTGTGCCAGACTGACGCTGGTCCAGGTGAACCTCAAGCCAGCCCTCCTCCCAGCCTGCCGCTTCCAGAGAGGCTCCCAGCCTTCTCAGATAGTGAGGATCAGAGATGGTTTCCAGGACTTAGGGAAGAAAGCAACCTCCACCCCCTGCCTCCCAACCTGGCCGGCATTGTCTATTTTTAGAATACTAGGCTTCTTTAGTATAGTCCCTCAGGCAGCCGGGGCCACAGGGTCTCAGGCCACCTGTGGTGACATTGCTGGGCTCCCAAAGCCGTTCCATGGGAGACTAGGCTTCCCAGGCTCACAGTGTAGAGATGTTGAGCCCACAGCAACTGTTTTGACTGCTGGCAGTACAAAACGGTCCCCCCCCCACACCACTACCGCACAACTCACTGCGGCCGTCAGAATGTTCAAGCCCAGATGCTGACATTTTTATGCAACAAGATGGCCGGCATCAGGTGAGAATGCAACTGGCAGGGTCTCAGCCACACATCAGTCAGAAGCCCTGTGCAGTTTCCAAGGTATTATGATGAACTTTTTGATGAAATAGGGAACTGCAGGTAGGTGATAATTTTGAAAAGGATTCCCAGGGTTTATTCTTAAAAATTGACTCATCATGTCATCCCTAGTCATTTAGAATTACAGTTGATGTCATTTAGAATTAGAGTTGATAAGATTTATACTGTATGAACAAAACAGTGTTTTAAGAGTAGGCTAGTAACTGGTTTATAAAATCTATTGGTACTTCTACCAACCCTTGTAAAAGACAGCAGACATGATTGTGATCAGGGAACTGCACAAAATTATTTTTTTCAACCCCCATGTTATTGTCCTTGTGAAGATTTTTTTAAATAAAAGCCAACTTTTTGTTGTATATATTCATATTCCATGTGTTAGATGGAAGCATTTTCTATCCAGTGTGAATAAAAAGAACAGTTGTAGTAAATTATTATAAAGCCAATGATATTTCATGGCAGGTTATTCTACCAAGCTGTGCTTGTTGGTTTTTCCCATGACTGTATTGCTTTTATAAATGTACAAATAGTTACTGAAATGACGAGACCCTTGTTTGCACAGCATAAATAAGAACCTTGAGCTCTGTGGTCCCCTCTGTTGACTACCCAGCTCACAAACAGTTTCCAGCCTGGAGCTTGTCACATACTCCAGTGAGACACAAGTTCTCTCTTTTACCAAAGTCAAAAACAGAGCTTGAGGACAAATTAATAGTCTTATGTATCTGGCTATGGGTAGCCTCATTATAAATATCACTAGTGTGGCAAGAGATGATCTTGATGTCTCACATATACTGAAGTCCAAACACTGTGTCAGATGAGGAAAATCCATCAGAGAAGTAGAAAACAATAATTGAGAAAATGAGCAACAATTTCAGCCTAGTGTCAATGCAATAAAAACAATGCTGTGTAAAATGGGTTGAATTAGTTTGCAAACTATATAAAGATATATGCAGTAAAAAGTCTGTTAATGAACACCACATGGGAATGGGTGTCCTAGCCAATTGCCTTTTCTAGTTATCTGAGCTCTACTATATTATCATACTTGGATAACCAGTTTAAAAGAATTAGAATATGATTTTTTAAATACATTTTTAACATTAAACTCTTCTTCTAATTCTTCTTTCTGTGATAATTCAGAAGACAGTTACAGACCTTCAGTGAGTCATTGTTATAAAAAATCAGCTATCACTGTACCATGCTATAAGAGACTGGGCTACAATTGTACAGCAACAAACCATGGAAGTTGCTTTTTTTTAAAAAACTGATAATAAATTCCTGAAATCCACTCTTTTACTGGTTGTTTCTCTTTGTTATAAAAATAAAACATAGATTGTTAAAGTGCTTAACATCCTGGATGTCATTCTGCAAATTAAATTATATTTCTCAAATTATTTTGTGCCTTCAACTAAACAATTTATTATCTTGATTGCTGTCATTTTTTCTTTAGATGCCCAACAATCAGAATATACTTTATTTTCAGTGATAGTTTTAAAATTTGAAAAGTAATTCATGCCAAATGGGAAAATAAAATAAAAAGTGAAGACAAAAGAAGCACACAGAAAAAATGTATCATTCAGGACTGTGTCTTGCTTCCTATTACAGAAACGTGGCTGTGACTGATTTATTCACAGAGCAAATACTGCAGGGGTTTGCACCTGCTCAAGAAACCAGGCAGTGTTTTAGATAGTGCTATAATAAATGCTATAATAAACACCCTTCCACCTATATATGCACCTCAAAATATTTTTGTTATTTCTGCACTTTTAATACAAACCACTTGATTCTTCTTAGCTGCTTCAATTCAGTTCCTCCACTTACATATTTTGTAGGCAAAAGAGTATCTCTAATTCCTGAACTTCTTTACAAGTCCTCATTAAGCCCTGAGTTCATCTTAATTGGAATAAAAACATCCACAAACAAAACCATGCCACAACTTTTTCTAAGATTTCATTAGAATTCACTTTTTAACAGAATTTTGGACACATGCACACTTCTTAATGTCATCTTAATCATTAAATGGTTTTGAGATAATCAGCTAGCAATTTGGAAGGAAAAAGAAAAGTTGGAGCCCTACCTCACTCCTTACACCAAAATTAACTGCAGCTGTATTCAAGTGTAACAAAACCAGGACAGTACTAGAGGTTTTGTTACACTTAACAAATGGAACATGTTTACTGTATGGTATATTGAAAAATTTTTACATCCTATGTATTGTTTGCATTACCAATCAACTTTTTTATGAAATCACTTTCCCTACCTTGGGGAGTGCTTCAATGCATTCAGGTAAATAAACAAAGAAACCATTACTGACAGGAATAAAATCATTGGTCAAATGCTGACTGTGAACTTGAGCAGGAGAGCCACAATTTTTCATCACAAATCCAATTTTCTGCCTCCAGATAAATCTGGGCTTCTCTGGAGTCTCCCTTAGGTATAGAATAGCCAATGAAACACTTTGTCCATCCAAATACATTGTAAACAAGGTCAACGTGCTTACAATTATATTGTGTTGGCTCGAACCACCACACCTATCATAACACAATCCCAAAGTTTTACCTGAACAAATTAGAAGCTTTAAAATTCCACTAGCCGTAATTTTGATTCCTCTCCTTTTTACTCCACATTCGAATGGTCAGTTAGTTATATAGATAATTCCTTCTCTACTTCAGCTGGGCCAATTTTAATTTTTAGAATTTGAAGCTGTGCAATATGTCCTTTATTCAGTTTTAAATATCATTTCATAGTGTCCTCATAAAGCCCCATTAGCAGTTAACAAAATTCTGCCTGAGTCACTTGAGAGCTCAAAGCAAAGCTCTGTTAAAAGATGTTCAAGTCATTTCACATTCAGGAATTTAGCCGGCATCTTAAGTTCTGAGTACTTATAAACATTAAAATGGATGCAACTCAAGACAGACATTTTCTTTTGTGTAGTGGTTTGCATTCTTGCGAAATATTTCTAAAGTACAGGAAATGTTGCATGTAAGTGCTTATAGCGCAGAAAATGTTTCACTTTCTTCCGAAGGAGAAGTTGTAAGACAGGAGAAATTTTTAGAATTTGAAGCTGTGCAATATGTCCTTTATTCAGTTTTAAATATCATTTCATAGTGTCCTCATAAAGCCCCATTAGCAGTTAACAAAATTCTGCCTGAGTCACTTGAGAGCTCAAAGCAAAGCTCTGTTAAAAGATGTTCAAGTCATTTTCACATTCAGGAATTTAGCCGGCATCTTAAGTTCTGAGTACTTATAAACATTAAAATGGATGCAACTCAAGACAGACATTTTCTTTTGTGTAGTGGTTTGCATTCTTGCGAAATATTTCTAAAGTACAGGAAATGTTGCATGTAAGTGCTTATAGCGCAGAAAATGTTTCACTTTCTTCCGAAGGAGAAGTTGTAAGACAGGAGACCTGTTGACCACCCATCACCAGCCCCTTTCAAAAATGTGCACCCCCAAGAGTAGCCATGGGGGACTTACAGCCCTCCATTTTCAGGGTTTTTTAAAATAAAACTTGGCATGCCTGGCCCTGTGAGCCCCACCCCAACTTTGTAGGATACAGAGCCCACGTTTTTTACCTAGTTTTATTCTTAAAATTATTTACAGACACCTATAGATTCTGTAAAAGATCTGCTTGAAATTAATGACAATCTTCATTCCCAACCAAGCTCCTGTAGAGACACGTAAATACTCCATGTGAATGCAAAGAGCAGTTTGTGGCTAAGGTGATGCAGAAGCATTCACAGCCATCTGAAATTTCTCCCCTAAGTGGGAAGCAGCCTCTGTCTCTTCAAGATGTCCCCAGAGGTTCAGAAAGCAGGCTCTCAAGTGTAGAAGAGAAGAGAATGGGAGATTCTCAGACAGGAAGGTGAGAGGAGCAAGCAGGAAGAGGGAACAAAGCAGGCTGCATCCTTTTGGGCACTCCAACACCTGGAATTAAATAGAGTGTAGGTAAACTAGGGTTTGGGAGGTTAGCTCACCTACATGGTTCATTAGGCATAATAATAAAGTCACTAGGATGTAGTAAAGAAACTAGGGACTGTTTAACTTCTGGCGGCAATAACTGTACCATTGGGCTTGCCTTTGCTGAGAACAGTACTGACAGCTGATGGGGCTGAGCCCAGGGAAAGTCCAGACAGACCCCACTCAATTCCTCTCGTCCCAAATGATGGTAAAGATGGTGGACCTCAAACCTCAGATGAATAAATCCATCCTTAAGAAGAATAATGTGGGTCCTAGTCATTTCTCCAAGGAAATTTTATTTCCTAATTCAAATAGGCATGTTAAGTATTTGCTACAAATATTCCTTTCCAATGCCACATCTTGCCTTCTCCACTCCATGCAGAATTGGGTGTAATGAGCATCTCTTGGTTCTAACACACACACGCTGCCAGTATCTGTGTCACATGTATATAGTCTGGGTAATTTTGCTTCCTTTGTTTTGATAAGGCTGAACAGACTTTCAGATTAATTTACATTTGTATCTTCTCCAATGATGTAATGGGATATAATTCCATATGCTATGGAATGAGACCTGCAGAGCTCCAGGAAAATTTGATTCCATGCCTGACCCTTGTCAGATAAAAGCAAATGCTCAGTCTCAGAAGGCCCTGGCCACTCCACATGTTCCTTGCTTCAACCGCTGGTTCTCAAAGCATTCTGATGTTCAGCTCAGCATTTTTATACACACACACACACACACACACACATACACACACACACACACACACACACACCAACATTTGCTTTTAGGAGATTCTTAAAAGATCATGATCTTTATTTAATCTTCAACCATTAGTAAAATCAAGAGATCTTGTCCCGTGCTATGTCTTGGACATAGTTTTCTTGCTTCTAATTAATAGTAACTGGTAACTGATTTTTTTTAATAAATGTTTTTAAATTTCCTTAGCAAGTTAGGGATGGGGTAAAAAAGTTCCCTTGACATTGAAAAGGTATCCACCTAAAAAGCCATACAGACATTATACTTAATGCTAAAACATTAGGTGTTTCTCCTTTAAAATAAACAACAAGAGAGGATTCTAACCGTCACTACTGTTGTCCACCTTTGGTCCTAGTCAAGGCAATAACACAAACAAAATTTAAAAGTAATTTTAAATATCAGGAAGACAATATACATGATGACCTAAAAATTCCATGAGAATCAACTTGAAAATCATGAGAACCAATAAAAGAGGCCAGTGGGCTGCCCAGACACATGATCAACATCAATGACCATGACCAGTTAGAAAATTGTCCATTCATAATAAGAAAAAATAAATTTCAAATACTTACATTTTTAAATTATATTTTTTAACTATATATATGAATAAACTTGAAATTAAACTAACAAAAAAATGTAAAACCTATAGGAAGACAACTATAAAACTCTGATGAACTATCCCTAATTAATGGAGAGCTGTACTACATCCCTGAATGGGAAAACTTAATACTGAAAAGATGTCAGTTTCTTCACAAATGAACTACAAATCCAAATCGATGCCAATAAAAAAAACCTAGCAAGATTTTTAAGTAATTTCAAAGGTGAATTCTAAATTTTAATTAGAAAAGAAAATGGACAAGTATGGCCAGGATATGATAATACAACAGAACAATTTTCAGAAACAGACCTATAAATATATGGATTAGCTTATAATGGTACCCAGGGACTGTGGTACCGCATATATTAGTGTAACAATTCTGTGCATCTGGTGCCTGTCATGTAGTAGTTGATCAATGTTAATTGAGTGAACAAACATATAAATGAAGACTCTCAATATGTTCAAATATTTAAGCAAATCAACAATAGAAGTGGAAGCTATATCTGAGACAATGTTTGCTTTCAAGAACCATAGGTATTATAAACAAGCTCATTTCCCCATTGCCTTTGAGCAAATAAAGTGTGAACTCTCACTGGGTGGTGTTGAATGAATTCCTATGAAAATTCATTAACTTCATTAGCTTCCTGGCTTACTTTTCAAAGCACACACATTCCTCCACATTCTGTGTCAGTTGAGGTCAAGTCCTTTTGTAGTTGGCTGGGGAGGAAAAATAAGAGTAGATGCCAGGAATTTAGGATAAGTGCCAGAAGGCAAAAAATGGTTCCAGCCCTGGCAGTTGCCAGAATAATCAGCTCAAGTTTGCCTCATTTGTTTATCAAGTATCCTTCCACAGGTCCAGATTCCCTGCCATTCTATGAATTCGTAGAGCAATACTCAACAGTTGTGATATGGCTCACTGAGGTAACAGCAAGAATCCAGAATCAGGAGTCAAGTTGTTGTGTTACCCATTCAT